CGAGACAGCTTCCTTGCGGTTTTCACTGCCACGCGTCTTAATCAGCCATTATCCCGCAGATAACTCAGCACCAAACACACTTTAAACAGGCAAGCCGATTAGGAGACGGCAGCAGACGCGCCACTGGTGTCGGTTGCGAGCCATGTCCTGTAAAGTCTCGAGCCAAGCACCGGGTGAGTCACGTGGACCCCAACTCGGAAGGCGAGACGGACCAACGGCACCCAGTTTGGTCGTCAGTGACTTCATTTGCCCCTGCCAAGTCAACTTCTGTCCACCTCGAGCTTTGCGCCACCCTACATCTGGCAGACTAAACAAGGCCCTCCTAGGCAAACAGTGACCAGGCATGCGTAGCACGTGCCCGAGCCAACGCAACTTATTCAGTGCTCTGTTTTCCTAGGGAGCTAGCATGATTATCACCACCAAGTACTCGCCTACGCACATCGTCGTTGCGGACACGCTGGTGCCATCCGACAACAGCAATGTTTCGAAGACAACGATGATCAAAAATTTGGAGGCGCCTCAGATATTCAGACCGAAGGGGCCAAGTTTCACTACCATAGAGCAGAACGGCCCTCACTGTGGCTTTGTATACACGGCCTTTCAGACGGAGGGAAACTCCCTTCTGTCGCCAAAGATGATGCAGGTTCAAAAAGACAGCTCTGGCCTTTGCAATTCGTGAGCTCACGTCAGTTTCTATGCGCCCATCATTGCTGATGCAGCTGCCAAGATAAGTGAATTGATCAACCACCTCGAGTTCCTCGTTAGCAAACGTCAAGGGGTCCTCGAGTGGCTGGTGGTCCTGCAGTAACACTTTGCACTTTGAAGGTGCGAAGTGCATACCAAATAATGGAACCACTCTGGACTGGCTATTCAGGGTTGATTGTGCCGCCTTAACATTGTCGAAAAGCAAGACGATATCGTCCGCGTAATCTAGATCAACTAACCTTTCACCAGGCAGCACTTCAATGCCTACATCGTGAGATTCCGCAAGGGGACACTCCATGATAGAATCCACGACGAAATTGAACAAAAAATGGGAAATCGGACAACCCTGACGAACGCCACTTGTAGTCGAAAAGCTATTCGATAGGACACCATAGACCCTGACGCGGCCTGTAGTGTTCGAGTATAGAGCACGAAGGATGTTCACATACCTCGTGGGAACACCTTTCCGCGCAAGTAATTCGAACAGAATCGATCGATCGACTGAATCGAACGCACTCTTGAAATCGAGGAACACAGCTATTGTCGGTCTGCGGTATGCGTGGCGCTGCTCTAGCACCTGCCGCAAAGTGAATATATGGTCGACACAGCCACGTCCTGGACGAAAACCGGCCTGCTCTTCCCTAATCCGAGATTCCCGTTCCGCAGTGAGGCGACGAACGATAATCGAGGCCAATAATTTTGTCACAATTGACGTTAGGCTAATACCCCTGTGGTTCGCACAGTCTGTGCGACTGTCCTTGTTGTATATTGCCACTATAATCGATTCTCTACAATTAGCCGGGACACTTCCTTCCTTCCAGATACCTTCGAATAGGGAGGTCAGTGCTTTGCAGAGGACCTCACCTCCATGCTTAGATAGTGCAGGTAGGAAGGAATCTGGGCCAGCGGCACGACAACGATTGAGAACTGTGATCGCGTTTCGGACCTCGGCCTCCGACGGAGGCTCTAAACTAACCGTCCATGGCACGTCCTGCATCACCTGAGTAGGAAGAGGTCCGGGAGCAGGGGGCCAGCGGAACTGATCTTCAAAGTGTTCAGCCCAACGAGCCATACGGCGCTCCTTATAGTGTATCAGCGCACCCGCGCTGTCCCTGATTGTCTCACTGACGCCTGGTTTTCTCGGACCAGTGGTGCGTATTAGCTGGAAGAGCTTCCGGTAATTGCCTACTGCTCCTGCCTCCTCCATTTCTTGAGCGCGACTGGTCCACCAGGCTTCCTTGTCAGCACGTAGGCTCCGCTTTAGTTCACGCCTAATAGCCCGTCTGGTCACATTGTGTTCAGAACCAGCCGGGAGGTGCCTTCTAGCTTCCAAAAGGTTCACGGACCTCTCGGATATCCAGTGACTGGTGCGGTGACGACTGATAGTGCCACAAACAGATGCTCCTGCGTCGTGCATAACGGCAGAGATCCTATTCCACTGAAGTTCAGTGTCATTAGGACAAGACAGCGAGAGTTCGCTATGCAGTGCTTCTTGATAGGCTTGCCTGACCGAGGGCTGGGACAATTTTTCCGTTGCCAATTGGGGGAGACGCTTTGTGCGCCTTCCGGTAAAGTTCATGGAGAAACGACAGCGCACCAAGGCATGATCAGAGTCGACACAGGTACTCCAGTACGAGCGGCAATCCAGAATGGAACCGCGCCACCTGTAACTTATGGCTATGTGGTCAATTTGGGTCCATCGCTGGCCAGCTACAGGTGGACGCCAAGCGGCACTTCGGCGCCCACTGTGTCTAAAAGCAGTGCTACTAAGAAACAACTGGTGCTCCGCACACAGCTGCAGCAGACGTTCGCCGTTGTCAGTCCCTTCGGCGTTAAGTCCATACTTACCACCCAGCTGAGCTTCTGAAGAGCTCAGACGCCCTACTTGTGCGTTCATATCCCCTGCAAGTACTATAATATCTGAACTAGTAGCACTGCGTAGCAGCGTGTTCAATTCATGATAGAAAGTGTCCTTGACTGCATTAGAACTGCAATCGGTGGGAGCATAAGCAGAAATCACAAACAAACAGCGTTTTGTTTTACTTCGCGAATTCACCTTAGCTGCACATAAACGCCTGTTCATCGGAATCCAATCAACCAAGGATGGCTCAGCCTTGGAGCTGAGAATGATACCTACACCAGCTTGACCCGTGAGTGCCGCATCGGCGTCTCCGGATGTGTGCAACCAATAACGAGAGGATAAGCCGGGTGCAGTCAATTCAATAACCCCGTTAGGGTCATTGATCCTAGTTTCGGACACACAACACACATCAACACCCAGTGTGTCCAAGGTGCGTGCGAGTGCAGCCTGCTGACCTATTTGTCTTAGAGTGCGGACGTTGAATGTCGCCATGGAAACGGGACAGCGTGGCCTTATAAGGAACTTTTGCCGATAGGTGCTGTGGGATGGTGGCTGCAGATAGTTCTACTCCAGTGGCACTTCGGTTGCTGTCAATTAAGCTGGGAATCATCGAAAGAAGGTTAGTAATGGGGGCCGGGATGGGAGTAAGAGAAAAAGGTGGAAAAGAAAGAAGGGAGGCGCCAGCAGTAGCATGCTTTCGCTTATCCGCCCTGCTGTATGCAGCAGATAAGGCGACCCATGATAATCTGCGCGACGGCCGATGCAGGATGAAGTTTATGTTTGAAGAAAATGTCATGGTTGTATGTGGGCTGGGATACTGCCAGGGCGCCCAGACCTAGACAGGAGAACGATTAGTTTCCTCATCCAAAGCCTGTCCGCAAGGCAGCGGGGTGGCAGTGATTTAGTTTTACAGAAATGGACGCCATCCCATTTCAAACCCCCAACCTGGAGGACCAGGAGACTGAGTTTGTCTGACCTCTCACCATTGACCAACCTGGTAGGAGTAGCTCTCAAGATGCTCGGAGGCATCACCCAGTATAGCTTAATGGGTCCATGAGGTACGCAAACCGTGGCACCACGTTAAGGTCCAGTCTCGTTGCGACGGGGCAGCTATATTAGCACCCGTGGGATTGAAGATGAAGTTACGAAACGTATAGCAAAAGCTCGAGGTGCTTTTGCTAATCTCCGCCATCTGTGGCGCAGACGCGACATTACTCTCGCCCTGAAGGACAGAGTTTACAACGCGGCCGTCCGTTCAACTCTCCTATACGGCTGTGGAACCTGGCCCATCAGGTCGACAGACATAAAGAGGCTCGTCATATTCGATCCTCGCTGTCTTCACAGCTTAGCTCATGTCTGGTGGGAGCACCGCGTGAGCAATGAGCGTGTTCGGCATCTCGTATTTGGTGCAGGAAGAGCGAGTGAACCGCTCAGCACCATTATATCACGCGACGGGCTCCGATGGCTGGGCCACGTGTTGCGCATGCCAGCACACCGACTCCCGCGACGTGCATTGTTTGCGCGTTGTGGGTGCGGTTGGAAGAGGAGGAGGGGAGGCCAAGTGATGACTTGGTCGAGAGAAATGAAAACCCTCACTTCCAAGTTGGCGTCGGTTGGTGCATCCCGACTGCCTGGCTGGGGTCCTAAGGACGGTGAACATGTTTGGTTGGACACACTCGCTGATATGGCTTGGAGCCGGCCCCAGTGGCGTTTGTGTTATGAGTTCCTTTGTCCATCCCCCTCCTGCTTAGCATCCCCCTCCAATCGCGATGTCACTTGTTAGGCACAATATGTCTCTCTTTTGCGGCAGTCAGCTGTTAGCTCTCCGGAACGATGTCCATCCGTTACTGGGGACACAGCGGGCGTGCCACCGTTTGTTTTCCTTTTCTTGTCTTTTGTATTGCAGCACAATAGCTGAGGTGTTTTCCACCTACAGCTAACGTGTAATGATGATGATGCTGATAATGATGTATGGGTAGCTCTTAAGGGGATCGAGGGCCCTACCTTCGACCCTACTGTACGGTTGTGATACCTGGCCCCTTAGATCAGTCGACTTAAAGTGGTTGGTTACGTTCGATCACCGGTGTCTTATCAGTTTGGCTCATATCTGGTGGGAACACCGAGTGAGCAGCGAGCGTACTCGACGCCTTGTTTACTGTATAGGAAAAGGAAACGAACCGCTCAGAACCGTTATTTCACGCACCAGGCTCCGATGACTGGGCCACATGTTGGGCGTGTCAGTCCACCGGCTTCCGCGACGTGTGTTGTTTGCGCGCCGGGGGTGTGGATGGAAGAATAGGAGAAACAACCAGGCGAAGACTTGGTCAAGAGGAATGAATGCCCTCACTTCGAAGCTGGCCTCAGTTGGAACGTCTAGGCTTCCCAGTTGGGCCTAGAAGGCGATGATCACGTTTGGCTGGATACACTTCTTGACATGGCTAGGAGCCGACTTCTCTGGCGTTCGTGCTGTGAGTTTGTTTGTCCCTCCTATCCCTTTTAGCTTCCCTCTCCAACCATGATCTCATTTGTTAGCATAATATAATTTTCGCATAAAATATTTTGTTGCATAGTAGCTCGCTAGTAGCTTTCTGGAGCCATGAGGTGTTTTCCACCTGCAGCTAACTTGTATAATGTTGATGATTACTCAGAATAGCTCAGTTGACAGACGACGTTAGCAAACCGTCGCTCCACACTGAGGTCTTGTCTCGTTGCTACGGAACGAGCGATCTACGCATCCGCGTATGTTAGTGGGCTGAGGCATTTGACAAATTGGGGTATCAAAAATGCAATATAGCGAGCAAGCCTGTTTTCAGGTTTTATCACCAGGCTAATACAACCTCGACGAAACAGCCTAGGATGGACACAAGATGTTTACATTCCGTGAGCCACTGAAAATGAGTATCTAATCGATAGGAATTCGTGATTGGTCTGGTTGGCTTGACGTGGGGTAAAGTGGCGTGACCGTCATTGTTAGTCGTGCTTGCCTGTAGCTAAGTTAACCTTATTGTTTGAACAAGCTTTTCCTGTGCACATAGGTCCGGGTTCTGGATCCCAATTGCGATCGCCTCTGGTGTCGACATCATGCGGCATCTAACTTCTTGTATGTAACTTCCGTTCACACAGTATATTTATGTGAATTTGTCATGCGATTTGATCCCGTGATCAGTCTATTAGATGCGACAACACTACACTCGTTACATTCTTCCTTACACCACTTTAAAGCCAAGCTGGGCAATGCTCTCGAACTCCAACGGACAGTCGCCTGGTCCTTTTCCCAATATGCCTTGCTCGACACAACCAAGAGAAATTGCACTCACGGAAAGAAATATGCGACCGAGGTCTCCTGCCCTTAATTTTCTGGCGCACAATCGGTGTTGAGTGGAAGCTTACGCTTAAATTACCAGCAAAACACGTCCGCGCTGTTGTCATTGAAAGTCTTCAGGTGGTCCGTTCCGCTGTCGCGTCACCCTTAAACGGTAAAGACAAGTATGGCGGTTGAACTTTTCGCTGAGCTTGGCAATTTTGTTGTAAACGTTTCGTCACCAATCGAGGTGACATCATCAGTGCTTACTTGAGTGTTCAGTAGCTACTGCGAACAGTTCAGTCGCCATCTGAACAACCTGAGCTACCCGTCTTCAATTCTAAGTATATCACCCACTTCTCCACGGAAACGGGTTTGAGCTTTGGCACTCGCGGTTCCAAGTGCCTCTGGATGTATTTTCAGAGTATCCATTACTTCTGAACACACTTCGGATAAAGCTCATCTCATCTGAAAGCGTATCTCCTGAACATATTCTCCTCGATCTCTCTGTTAGGCCATGGACGAGATTCCTTCTTGACTTGTTGGAACGAAACTAGCGAAATGGATGTATTGCCCAATCCAGGTTTCCTTCCTGTACATCCTCCTCCGCATTTACCGGTTTGATGCCCTATTGATTTGGACATCAAAATGCCAACGAGTCGTGTTCTAGTTCGATAGTGAAAGTTATCTTACTGTGTGCAGTTAAAGTGAGCTAGAGTGGGCCGAGTTGCAATTCGGCTCCATAACCCGGACCTATGTATAGTGCGTCGGTCGTGCGCTATCTATCAGATTCACAGCTTAACGGCCAACCAAAATCGATCGGGTAAACACACGAAAATAAACTAGAGAAGGTTTGTTGTACAGTCGCTAAAGTAGCTAGAGCTAAAAATGAGACACAGGGCGAAAGGTAGTTAGGAAGAATATGGACGTGTGTTGTGTGTGTGTGGATGAGCGCTATTTAGCATGTTGCGTCCGATTGGTAGCAAAGCGGATGCGAATGTTGCGTGTGTGACTCAAACAAACGAGAACAAAATTCAAACAAGCAAACCACCTAATTCCCTAATATATAAGGAAACCATAACCTTAGAATAATTTATACAGTGAAACGGGGGGGAATCTCCACGTCACTACACAACCCCCTCATAGAAGGAAAACCTTGAGTGATATCTTGATGTACCTTGTGACTGTCCGTCGCCAGCCAGCCTTCTGTGGACCAAGCGGAGACCTGTTGCAGCTGCTCGGGGAGCACTAACGCGATCGGATCCTAGCGCACTCCCACCCGTGTCCTCCGTAACGGTACCGAAAAACACCACGGGGGAAGTTCGTAAGCGTCAAATGTTTGCTTTCAGTTCGTCACCCTCCAAGCGTTTTGTTTTTTTAGATTTTTGACAGCTGTTATTGATTTTCTTGCCATTTTTTGGTTTTCTTAAGGGGTTGGCCAAAAAAGAAAAGAAAATTAATCCCTTAATCGCGCTGGCCATTGAACTCGCCTGCCCGACCTAGTCGACTTCTGCGGTTCGAAGGAAGGCGTCATCTTAGGCGTTCTATCGGATCGCATAGTTGGAGGAATTGCTGTTGATGTTCCGCTTGGTTCGATGGGAAACGGCGGAGCTGTAGTGGGAATGTTAGATGGAGAGTGCTACTTGAAGTCATCGTTGTTTGAAGCAGGCGATTCTTCCATCATAGGTTGGGTTGCTTTATCAGAAGACGGGCAGAGGTCTTCGAGCTCAGTTTTCATGTGAACAACCTTAAGACGGTCACTCGTAGTGGTCGATGATAAAGACGCGATCGTTACGCTGCAGAACTTTGAAAGGTTGCTCCAGTGGTCTGTGGAGACCATCGACGCGGAAAGAAACGAACGAACAGTGCTGCAGGTCTTGTGGAGCAACAGACTTACATCCTTGTTCTCTGACGTCGGGAATCTTTAATGACGCATGCTCGTGGCTAGTTGACTGTACTAATTCTTGTCGTCACAAGGAGTTCTTGAACTATCGGAGAAGAAATCGCCAGGCAAACGTAATGGTTGTCGGTATACTAACTCGGCGCTGATCGGATATCATGGAGTATCATAGGCAGTATCTCAGTCCAATTCAGCGCATTGGCGGTGCTAAGTGAGACTTTCAGCTGTCGGTGGAAACGTTCTACCATCGCAATGAGGCTGGACCTTACCGTGGTGCGATGGTTTGCGTGCCTCAGAGATCCATTGAGCTATGCTGGGTGGTGCTTTTGCACCTTCAGAGCCACTCATACCAGATTGGTCAATGGTTAGAGGCCAGACAAACTCAGCCTCCTGGTCCTCCAGGTTGGGGGTTGGAATGGGGGTGGCTCCTCATTTCATAAAACGGGCTCCGTAGTCCAATGCCAAAACCCGCTGCCTTGCGGTCAGGTTTTTGAACCAAAGGCTTTGGTTGAGAACCCTAATCGTTCTCCTGTCTAGGCCTGGGCAACCTGACAGTATTCTGCCCACGCAATACAATGAAACTTTCCTACAACAATTTCTTGATGCTCTGGCCGTCGCAGAGGATAATAAACGGCGCCCTATCTGCTGCATCGAGCAGGGTGGATAGGGGTTTGGATGCTACTGCTCAGGCCTTCCCGTCTTCTTATACCCCTTCTTGCGCTTCTTCATCCTTGTCGTCCCGCTCCAACTTTACTTATATCCCCCCCATTTTCAATCCCCCAATTCTTGGCCCTCCCCCAGCTTTCTTCAGTAGTCGCTTGTCTTCTAATTTCAAATCACACACAATCCCAGGGCCTCGCTCCAATCCAGTTGACAAGTCCATGTTCAAGCAAGCGGACAACGTCAGTTCATCCGTTTCCCTTTGGAGTCCTCGCGTCTCGCTAAGACTGGCATGCTTCAACGTGCGCACTTTGCTGCAGATTGGCCAACAGGCAGCACTTGCCCGCACACTAGAGACCCTATCGATCGATATTTGCTGTTTATCAGAAACCCGCCTGCAAGATTCGAGCTCCGTATTTACCCTGAGATCCCCCACATGCGACACTGGCGGCACATTCTCATTGCGCTTATCTGGCGATGATACAGCTTCAAATGCCGGTCAAGCTGGCGTCGGCATTGTTTTGAGTCCCCGGGCTGAAGCTGCCCTGATTGATTGGATCCCAGTAAACAGTAGGATGTGTGCCGTTAGATTATCTGGTTCGTTCCGTGCTACGAAGTCGCGCGGGGACAAACGGTGCCTGTTTGTCATTGCGGCTTACGCCCCTACAAACTGTAGCACTGATTCGGTAAAAGATGATTTCTATCAGCAACTGCACGAGCTCCTTCGTTACAGAAGAAGCACGGATACTGTGGTGTTGGCTGGTGATCTAAACGCCCAAGTCGGAAAGTTGTCCTCTGATGAGCTTCATCTGGGCGGCCAACATGGTGTAGGCTCGCGTAATGATAATGGTGAGCGATTGCTACAGCTGTGTGAAGATGCTCGCCTCTTTCTCGCGAGCACTAACTTTCGACACAGCACCCGCAGAAGCGTGACTTGGCGGCCATCAACCTCGGGCCAACCATGGACACAAATCGATCATATCGCGATCAGTTACCGCTGGAGGGGCTGTGTCCAAAATTGTCGCTCGATTTGGAGCACGTGCATGGACTCTGACCACGCACTTGTCTGTGCCGACCTCCGGGTGCGTTTCGGTGGACGCCCGCAACGTCGATCTGAACGGATTGACACCAGCCAGCTGGCGAAGCCAGATGTTCTGAATGTATACCATAGTGCGCTGACATCTGGGCTGAGCAAGCGCCCACTAAACACCGTTGAAGATCACTGGTCGCATATTCGTCAAACGTTACTGTCAGCAGGCATGTCTTCATGTGGCAAAGCAAATTGCCAAACCGGACATTGGGTCTCTACACAGTCTATGGAACTTATGGATGCTCGCCGACGTATTCCGGCTGGAAGCGAATACAATGAGGCTCGCAAAAATGTCAGGGCAAAACTACGTGCTAGCCTTAGGAAGGACCGCGAAACCTGGTGGTCTCATCGTGCCTCTGAGATGGAAACAGCCGCTGCCGTGGGTAATCATCGTAAGTTATTCCGTCTGATACGGGAAACAGGCAGCAGGAGACCTGGTGTTAGCGAGACCATACGCGACGAGAGTGGGCAGCCGATCCACAGCTTGTCAAAACGCTTGGAGCGTTGGGCCGGACACTTTGCAAGGCAATTTAACAAACCTGTGTTATCGCTTTCTTCTTCGGGCATTGAGCGCCCTTCTCCTTGGTCCGTCTCCTCGGATCCGCCCTCACGGGCAGAGGTCGAACGTGAGATCCGGCTGTTGAAATTGCATAAGGCCTCAGGAGCAGATAGAATTCCCCCAGCCCTCTTCAAATTCGGGGGACCTGCTCTAGTAGATGATCTACACGAGTTGCTCGTAAAACTTTGGGAGCAGGAGACAGTCCCGACAGACTGGAACCGCTCCGTCATTGTCCCAATTTTCAAGGGAGGCTCTCGTTTGGAATGCGGCAATCATAGAGGGATCAGTCTGATTTCGATTGCCTCTAAATTGCTTGCCTCTGTCATTCTCCACAGACTGACTGGCACTCGTGAAAGCCAGATTCGTGAAGAGCAAGCCGGATTTCGTCGAGGTCGGGGCTGCATCGACCACATCTTCACATTGCGTCAAGTGTTGGAGCACCGCCATGTTTATTGGCGACCCACCGTTGTCGTGTTTCTTGACATAAAAGGTGCCTTCGATTCGGTCGATCGATGTGCCCTTTGGGACTGTCTGCTGAGGAAAGGTGTGCCTGATAAATATGTAAACATTATCAAAGCACTGTACACGCATAGTTCGGGCAGGGTGAGGGTTTATGGCAAACTCTCGCCACCCTTCAATATCACCAGCGGTGTGAGACAAGGATGCCCGCTGTCACCTTTCCTCTTCAACTTCGCTATTGATGAGGTCATAGAAACAGCGTTCGCTGGACACGACCTAGATGGTGTGGAGCTACTTCCTGGTGAGCGACTTCTTGACTTGGAGTATGCGGACGATATTGCCCTAATCTGCGACAGCCTCCAAACATGCCAAAGAGCACTGGACCGATTAGCACTGGCTGTCAATCGTTTTGGGCTATGCTTTGCTCCATCGAAATGCAAAGTACTTCTCCAAGATTGGCAAGGACCCAACCCTGCGCTAACGCTTGGTGGTGATCTGCTAGAAGTCGTTCAGGAATTCAAGTACCTGGGCAGCTATATTAGCACCCGTGGGATTGAAGATGAGGTTACGAACCGCATAGCAAAAGCTCGAGGTGCTTTTGCCAATCTCCGCCACCTGTGGCGCAGACGCGACATTACTCTCGCCCTGAAAGGCAGAGTTTACAACGCAGCCGTCCGTTCCACTCTCTTATATGGTTGTGAAACCTGGCCCATCAGGTCGACTGACATGAAGAGACTCGTCACATTCGATCATCGCTGCCTTCGCAGCTTAGCTCATGTCTGGTGGGAACACCGCGTGAGCAATGAGCGTGTTCGACGTCGCGTATTTGGTGCAGGCAGAGCGAGTGAACCGCTCAGCAGCATTATATCACGCACCAGGCTCCGATGGCTGGGCCACGTGTTGCGCATGCCAGCACACCGACTCCCGCGACGTGCATTGTTTGCGCGTTGTGGGTGCGGTTGGAAGAGGAGGAGGGGAGGCCAAGTGATGACTTGGTCGAGAGAAATGAAAACCCTCACTTCAAAGTTGGCGTCGGTTGGTGTATCCCGACTGCCTGGCTGGGGTCCTAAGGACGGTGAACACGTTTGGTTGGACACACTTGCTGATATGGCTAGGAGCCGGCACCAATGGCGTTTGTGTTGTGATTTCCTTTGCCCATCCCCCTCCTGTTTAGTATCCCCCTCCAACCACGATCTCATCTGTTAGGCATAATATGATTCTCTTTTTACGGCAGCCAGCTGTTAGCTCTCCGGAACGATGTCCATCCGTTACTGGGGACTCAGCGGGCGTGCCACTGTTTTTTCCTTTTCTTTTATTTTGTATTGCGGCACAATAGCTGAGGTGTATTCCACCTCCAGCTAACGTGTAATGATGATGATGATGATGCCGTTCCCCTGTGGATGTTATGCGGTCTTGCGAATGCGTCGGCATCCAATGACCTTAAGAATATCGTTACAAGTCGAAGATGCGCACTGCGGAGTTGTGCGAGGTGCTGCAAAACTCATGCATGGTCCCTCTGTAGACACAGGCTTCATGTGGCTGTCCTATGGAGGTCGCAGTGACAGGCAAACCCGCAACCGGATACTCCCAACTATTTAATACGAAAGCAACTGTCTATACAATAGACAGAGCTATCGAAAACCATAGGGTGAATGGCTTTAATAAGTGCAGGTATCACAAAGTAGGAAACAGACTCCGTTTTGTCTTTTTTTTCTTCAGTTTAGTAATCACACTTTCGGTAAATAGAATCAGTGTATAAATTCATGCAGTTCTTCCATTTCCTCGATTCAGCGACATCCTCAAGACTTACGGGACGGACAACAGATAGACTGGAAGCCAACGCCTTGACGTTTTATTACCGTATGGTGGGTTGACCATCTCGCGGTTTATTGCAGTGCGGCCCTGTGTAAACGCATAGATTGCACTGTGGTGAACACACGACATGTGTAGGACTTGACCTAGCCACCTCAGTTGGCACAGCGATGTTAGCATATTGAGAGGGAGGCCCGTGTTGTATCATTATTTTATTATTCCAAACTTAACCAATCTACAATTGGCGGAGCCACAGCACAGTTTACACCAACGGAAAGGGGAAAACAGCTAGTCAGTGGAACGGTTTGGAAAGTTTAATGCGTTGTGTGGGCAGAGATCTTCGTGGTTGTCTAGGCTGAGGAAGAGGATTGTCTTAAGGGACCTTTTGTCATAAAGACCTGACCCGCATGGCAGCGGAGCAATCTACGAATACAGTTGACATCCGAGTAGCTCATTCGCCTTTGTGTTCAGTAGCAGTCCACAGAGAAGCCGGTGACCAACAAGGTTGTTCATCCGCCCTCCCGTTAGGTACTCACTTCTGATTACAGAAAGTAGTGGTCAGTGACCCTATGACCGGTCACATTGGCTTTGACACAGCGCCGTATGAGCTCTTGTGGTATTTGATGGAGAACCAGGTGACCAGTCCAGAAATCCCCACGCTCTGAGATGTTGCCGCTGATTGTCCGCGACTGCTTATTCATCTCGCCCGCGAGGCAAACGAGACTTATTCGCAGTTACCTCCACAAAGAATGCATACCCCGGTCCGCAACCTGAGGACGCGCCCGATAATGTACAGCTCTGTACTACCTAAAACGCGACGTTTAAAATCGTCATGGAGGAAAGTAGGAAAGACAGCAGTGCGCTGGTACACCGCAACTACGCTTCGCAGCCACTTAGTCATCGCTAGTCTCTCGCAAGCTGAGGATCCTGCGAGATTGCTGGTCACTACGCAGCTCCCGACCGGTGGCCTCTTAATTACAAAGCAAGCTCCTAATCCCTTCGGATAGTGGCCGGCGGGAGCTTTTAACAAATCCGGGTGTTTTTCTAACCTACCAGTGCGTTGTTATTGCTCTCTCTTATCTTTGCCTTTTTGTCTCCTTTACGATGCTGTTAGTCCAACTCTCTCACTTGTTCTTGCCACGCATATTCGCGCCAAGTTTGTCTCCGTATCGACAGATATGACTACGACATCAGTAACCAGACGCAATTTCCATCCAGTTCAGTCGATTACTAGGTGATTGTGATACTTTATTCCAGCTATCTGCGATGTATTTACTTCGTGCTGCAGCTTCGCGAGCCTGTTATAACCTACTTCACGCATTAGACGCGGAACCTCTCAGAATCGTCGACCGTACGCATGCTGCAGTGCTCAGGGGGAGCGTGGTCATTTCAACTAGGATTGCATAGAAATGAATTAATCTAGCGCTTCATAAACGCGACCATTTCACTGAGAAGAAGTTCAATCTTATGCTTGTAGATGCTCGTGTATTGTACTTCATGCTTGGTAGCAGCGACGGGTATTCAAAATTAGTTCGGAAAGTTACTCATTGGTGCACACTGCTTACATCGATCAAGTCATGCCTTTCATATCGCGGTTGTCCACTTACCTTGGTTTGTGTTACGTGCCATTGATCTACGCAAATTGCCAAGTGGCTAACAGGTGATATAATATAATGGTATGCAAACTATGGCCGGGAGTCGTGCTCTGGCTATTAGGCGCTACTTTTCTACATGTATACTTCAGTTTGACCAATTCAGCAATTTGAGGTGTTATCCGATCTACTATATTGGCGGAGTCCACAATGTTCGGTAAGATGTGCCGGCGTACTCTTGGCACGTTTTTTCATTTCTGGTTGTGCATTGCTTCTTGGTAATGCATTACGTGGCGAGTCACCCAAGTTCTTACTTCTTTTTATTTGTTCGTAGCCAATATGCCATTTTTGAACGGAACGAGCGTATTGTGTGGATTGTCGGGAGACGAAAAAGAACGTTTGGCGCAGCAACGCGAGCGTTCAGATAAAATTTCCCAACTTATGGGGAATTATCTGCTCAAAGGGTGGCGAATGCTGGATGAGACTTGTCACATTTGCGGTGTAAGTACACATTGCTATGATTTGGGGGCAACTGCACCTTCACCTTTCAGACAGTAACCTTTGAACCGCCCTCAGGTGGTCGGTATTGCATCGCGTGTTCCGAAGTGGATGTGACACCTACATCAATTTCTGACCAGTTGACCACTCCTGCTGTCACTGGACCCGACACATTTGGGACTGCGCACCTTGCGTAAGTGTTGAACATGCTCATGTTATCGCTTTGATCACATTCAAAGAGATGAAAAATGAAGATCAGTAGTACATCCGCACGCCGTACCGTTAACTCCCTGTCGTGCCATCACCATCACTCACCCGCAGGTTGGATATGCCTGCCAACATTTTAAGTGGGTGGAATCCCGCCTTGGATTCCTATTTCTTCTCCCTCAAACAGTTTAATCGAATAACCTAATGAGCGTCTTTCGTTTGGATTACACTGTGGATTGTTATTTCCTCTCGACTTACCGATTTCTGATTCTCATCGCCGTACTAATAGGACGGTCACCCATTCTCCTTTTCTGGTACCCAAAAGATTTTTGCATCTCACTTTTATGAATTTGGAGCCGACAAATTGGTTTTGTTAAATTATATCGCTTCTCATGTTCGTGGTGTCGACAGACGTGTAAAGTCTACGGGAATTCAGTTGCGCTCTTCCGAAGTTGGGCATTCTGTTTTCAAACAATGCGACCTTTTCCCCATCGTTTCCTTATCCTTCAGAGGAGCGTGGCCCATATATTTAGGGGATCCGATCTGAACTCATGTCTACTTGTCGGATCAATACGAGCACCTCATGGACTACTTAAGCTTTTGTTTTGATCTGCGTCACCCCATTGAGACAATTCATTTGCGGCCTGACGGATTTTCATCTCCATTGTTCAAACAACAGAAGAAAAACAGAACATGCTTATAAACATAAGTTAACTACCCGTGGTAAACGTCTGTCCAAAGCTATGGAAGCTAAAATCGAGAGATTAAACGCTCTTTACATTCTGACCGTTTTAGACAACCACAGTTGCCATGACCCATCGACGCTTGCAGAACAACTCTTCGAAAAGAATTCTTTCAGAGCACGCATCGCTGAGGATGTAGATAGACTCAACACTGTGTTCAGCTCCTCATTACCTCACACACACCCTGCTTTCATTCACCATTTCTGAGCCTCCTACTCTATTTGCTTCCAAAATTATCTACAAAGTGCTCATGAGCTTGAAACCAAACAAGGCTGGTGAACCGGATGCTGTATCAGCGGTCCATCTGAAAGAATGCGCAATGTTTTAACAATACCTCTGACAATCATGAATCGTTACTTAACGAGTGGTACCATCTCCGACATTTGGAAAACAGCCAAAGTAACACCAGCGCGTAAAATGTGATCTCGGAAATGTCAGTCAATAGCGTGCACGTCCATGCTGCTAAAGGTATTGGAAAAACTACTGATCCCCCGCATTTTCACAGGCAATCACACTGACGATGTCAAACAGTTTGCCCATAAACTAAGGCGCTCCACACTGGAAGCTCTTTTTTATCTGCTGCATCCTATTGCGTTCGCCTTGGATAATAGATGCAAGAGCGTACTGCTTCTATTTCTCGATTATCACCAACGCCTTTGGGAGCCTTGACAGATCATTACGGCTCAACAGCTTGTCCGAAAATGGCGTCCTTCTATGTGTGGGTTGTGTGCTGCACGATTACTTGACAAATCGCACCCAATTTACGCAGCGTTGCGGCAGAAGGTCTTCGGTACTCTCAGCCTACGTCGAAAGTCTCCATATTCCATCAAACTTCATACTCTAGATATGCGGATAACGTCGTCCTGGGTTGCACAACCCCAATCGTAGAGGAATCTTTGGAGCTTCAACGAGGCTTAGGCGAACTAATGACTTGGTCGAGCTCCCGGTACCTCTCTTTCAGCTCTTCCAGGTGTTATGACGTAACGTACTGGTTTCAACATCCCAACGGACTGCAGCCCCTTGTACATATCTCTCTTCCCATGATTATTTAGGACAAATGCGTACCTCACTCTTCTATCGTCAGATATCTGGTATTTTTCTTAGCTCACATTTATCTTGGTCTACACTTGTTTCTGAAACACTTAAAATTGTTAGAAGGCACTATTTTCGCGCCCTCAGGCTTAAGGTGCTTTCCGTTCCCCATGCTTTGATCATAAGGTTTGTAACTGTATGTATTCTCTCTCACTGGTTATTTTGTTCCCCGGTTATTTTCACAGGCCTGCTTCAAAAAGATTATGTCCTTCTTGTCAGTTGGCTAAAATTTCTTTCTTGCTGCTTTGGTTTAGAGAAAGTAACGCTCGTAGATTTCATTGTTAGCAAACATTTCGAGGCATGCATCAATTTTACGTCCGTGATTTTAAATGACTCCTCACATCCTTTAAACGATGTCCTAGACAGTACTGAATCTACTTCATCCACGCGGACAAAATTTAAAGTTTTATGTTCTCTTACCTCGTCGTATCGAAGCTCTCTCCTGCCTTTTCTATCACAGTTACTAATCGCCCAACCACGAATGAAACGCCGTTTTCGTGACCGCATAGTTGATTGAAAATGCAAATTTTCGTTTACGCCCATTAATTATTATTTTTCAGTGATGCTGTGTTGTATAATAGTCCGCAGTGTTTGTGTGAAAATCTTGAAAATGCACCCATACAGGTGGATAAAGCTTAATTTGACTTGGCTTGACTTGACTATTGAGTTTGTGATAGGTGACGCGCGCTACGCTTGTCAAGTCGCTGGTCGCTGTCTTGAACTTTGGAGTGGATTTACGGCAGGTCATTGCGAGCAAACTGATATGAGTGGCGAGTTGTGGGTACGACACTGCTGACTCCATGACCGCACCATTTCAATGGGCTCCACTGATGCGCTCAACACTAGTACGTCTATTTTAGGGAGTAAACTACGACCCAACGGAATTCCGGGAACTAGGTTTTTATTCCGAAACTTAAGTCTCAAAGAGCCATTGCTCGGGTCTAGTGAATTCCGCATGATGGAAATCTCGATGTCTGCTTTCCATCTGGCCCGACCCGTTAATTTACATGATTTTGGTTGCAACTAAGCTGATGTATTAAGACATAAATCAAGCTTTTTAGCCTTCTTAGCAAGCTTAGTTAGTGAACCACGATGCCTCACTTCCCAATACTGATGTTACGAATCCACGTCTATGATGTAAGCAGGCCTGGTGTTCCAACTCGGCACACTAGGTCTCGATGCGCTTTAAATTTGTTCAATGTATGTTTATTGGTATAACCGTCTTTTCATAACTACGCATTCACTTCATCGGCCACTAAGTAACAATGCAGCTTACACCCACTTGAGTTTTCGTACTCATGGTACTCTGAATGATGCACGGTCAGAGCAAACGGTCATCATCCCCATTGGGTCACCCGATATTCTGGGGGTTCTGTTATATATACTCGCATCGTACCATGGCGCCCGTCTTACGCGTTGAAAATCATCCTAACCATAAAATTCAGTCGTCCATTAGCACATCCGGGATACAACTGAGAGTAAAACTTGTCTTTCACCTCATCAGGGTGAGCCATGATGAAGCCATCCGTATAACTAAATGCGGTATAATGTTGTGCAATAAGCTAATAATGTTGTGGTTTCCGTTGACTGAGTGGATAACCCGCTTCTGCTGCACAATCCGAACCAGCTGACTTCCCAGCTTGGAAGACAAAGGCTCCTGACAAAACCTTTATTGCGCGCTCGACAAACAGTATGCATAGCCGTAGATGGGATCAAGATAAATTGTTCATTGTTGGATTCTAGCAACTACTAGACGCCTAAAAATGCGGCTGTTGGTTGCACAAAGACTGCTTCCACTGGCGGACTTCAAAGTAGATCATTCTTACTAGTAATTTTCAGGGTGAAGTGCTCTCATTGGTGAGACATTGGCTTCAGGCCGCTATCGAACGGACCGGTTCCGAAGTTTGCTAAGAACGGGCTCCCATAACAAGCACCTCTCCCTAAACGCAGTGTAGACGACAAGAAACAAGTGTCCCAGTCCCGAAGTTCCCTTTCACGTGAATCTTGGTCCATATTTGAGATTGCGCATCGAAATCCATCCACGCAACAAGTGCTTACACTGATGCCAGTGAACTCCTTTGTAAATCAACCATTAAAATGCTTAGATATCGTGAAGTTAACCTCACATCCACCTGATTTTGTAGTCGCTTTCGCGACGCAGTCGGTGTAACCAGCCACCCTCCTCACTCAACTTAAGTTGTTCACCCATCAGCGCCTCAATGTGTCTTTCCAAATGCGTGCTTCGTTTACACCACTTCAAAAATCTTACCTTGCTCGACATGGTGCACTCATGGGGTCAATGGCGCTCCTTCACCCTGTGTCTTGCATATAGCTGTCAATATTTCGATTGAGCACTTATACTTTGTTCTTGATGCCATTTCTCTTCTGTCTTGCTTTTTCCTCCAGTTTTCTTCGTTATCCTAAGGTACTACTCAGGTATCAAATCAACGGGATCCACCGCACTTCGGTTCTTGGCTCAGAGTTGTTTGGATGAACCGAATTGTTATTGCTTAGACCAGGGACCTGACACAGGTGTTAAGAGACCACTTATTCTGGACCACATGTACCCACAAACTATTGCCCGCTTCTGAAATGGGCTCTAAAGCGATACTGGATTCTTTCAATCGGTGCCCAACACCATCGCCGCCGCACAGGATCTCTTGTTAAATGAGAACCTCGTACGTCAATTATTTCGCGATCTCCGTATGCCTGTTAGCCACCGACCCCATGCATGATCTGTAGGTGATAATTCTGATGTACCATGACTAGGTACGAGGAAATTGACCCAACAACTGAGTAAACAGGGTTAGTGGGGTTCACTTGAATGAGAGATTCACAGGCTCTGCCCCGTAACTATCCTTGGGTTTTACCTAGCATAGTAGTGTGACGTGGCGGTTATGACTCGCCTCTAACTAATGTCACTGTCCCTTGCTTCTCACTTATGGAGCACTGCATCCCAGCAGCCTGCTGCTAAAATTGTTGTGGAGGATTAAGCTTCTGTTTGGTAACCGGACAAACGAGGCGTACGAACTGAACAACCGGTTCCCGGCTTTCAGTGGGTCCGATTCCTTGACTTCACTCCGCTGCCTTACGGGTAGGACATTCAGCCAAAGCCTCGCGGTGATGTTCTGTTAGTTAACTGTCTGTTTCAGCCTGGGTAACCTGGTAGTGTCGTACTCTGTGACAAAACAAAGGATACTTATGTGTTAGGTCCTGTTCTCTTTTTATGCCAACTTTACCTTTCATCGTTTTCTTTGATTTTCGCTGTCTCCATGTTTATCTGCCGACGAATATATATATATATATATATATATATATATATATATATATATATTAAGTAAAGTTCTTCACAGCCAGTTTCCAAATCAGATAGTCGTCCACTTGCTCGGAAAAGCACTAGACTGCAGTTTCAGTCTGTTGGGCGTCGTCAGTAGTGCGCATCGATCGGATCCATCAGGATTGGAACCCATGACCACCAGCGGCTTGAACCGCCAGTGAGCAGCTTATGCCACTGGGCCACGGGGACAGCTTCGGACCGTCATGATTTACAAGCTAACTGCGCTATAGCGCGTCTTATCCTCCACTGCCATGCAAGTTACGAATGTTGCACAGGACAGGATTGGAAACTGGCTGCGAATAACCTCTTATTTACATCAAAATCCCCTACTCATGTGTGCATCATAATATATATATATATATGCTCTTTGAAATGAAGTTTCTAAGTGTTCGTCGCTAACTTTCCAATCCTATAAGTTGATTTTTCCCACATTCCTAGCCGTAACTAATAGACACACGACTAATGACACCTCGCATTCTGACACCCAGGTGATGCTTTATAAAGTGCACTTAGCTGAACGATAATACCAGTCGAGGATTTCGTTAGCGATCGGACTAACATCCTACTTTCTTGTTTGTTTTTCAACTTCAGTGTGCAGGCCGGCTCGGTTGATTGCAAGCCTTCCGTGCGTTGCTACTCGCCATCAGCCAAAATGTTACTCGACGACATGCAACGCAAGTTGTTTTGGTGTGTAACTCAAATGACGGATACAGACAGTCAAAATGCTGTCGTACAATGGACACACACTATCAAGTGCGTAGTGGAGGCCATGAATGCGATTGCCCGATGCGAATATCTTTCTTCTTGATCGTCCTCATCGCTTGCGTATAAAACATGGTCACATACTATTCTGTTCACACTTTGACCCATTCACACTGAAAATACAGCGTTTTTCTTCTAATTTCTATTTTTCCTATCTGCCTACATGTTTAGATTCATAAGAACGACTCAGTCGAACAGTCTCGTTGCGGCCTACTGCCATGTTGACACTGTCGCGTTTGACATGGATGATTGACAATTGCACTGGTTTACGGTCGAAATACTGTGATGCTGCGGTCGGTCATTACTGTAAACTCGTACCGGTCCAATGCTTTTTGAGAAGATTCCTCGCAGCTGGATTCCGCCAGAATGCCACCACACATCCGGAAAAGCACTAGACAGTTGTTTCATATTACGGGACTCGTCGTTAGCGCGCACCAACCTTAGCAGCCTGCGTGCCACCTCGATTGGTGGCGACTTGCGAAGATAGTCGTAGCTCTTGGGACCAGCCTTGTCATCTGCATGTTCATAACATGCATGACAGTGGTGGATAAGCCACGCTGTATCGCAGTTAGAAACCAGTCATGACGGTCCGCTGTCGTCACCCATGGTTCATTGGCGTAATTCGTTGACTCGAAGGATTGCGTCCTAGGCTCATATCCGGTAGATGCGCAATACTGACGAGTCTCAACAAGATCAAGCAGCCATCTGGCGATTTTCCGAATGTGTGGTGACTGTGTGGCTGAGTCTATGTGCGATGAATCTTCTCAAAATCACAACAAGTCCTCCAACTTTAGTCTACTGCCTGCACGTTTGGTTTGCAACCATAAGGTCACCGGTTCAAATCCGCGTAGGGGTGGGCGTCCTCGCGGTATACTCAGCCCGCGCGCGACTGGTGGTGGTCGCACGGCAGCGAAGCGCCGTTACGGCGTACAGCTAACACATTATATCTATAATTATATTTATTCAAACATTCACTCTTCTCACATCGTGCCGATGAACTGACTGTGATTTGCTTGCGAAACTGCATTTATGCTCGCTTTGTTGCTGGGTGTTTTCCTAGATGAGTTCCTCGAATCGTGACCTCTCCTGTGCCGCATTTTTCTCCCTTATTTATAACGCTAGCCTAAGCCACACGAATAGTACATTCGTACCCTCATTGTCTCATAACTTAAATGATTGGTGATGCTGAATATGCAGTGAAACGGGACATATAATTTCGTCTTAATCTAACGCCAAATATATAAAATGGTTAAGCGTTTCTTTTATTTTCATAAGTAGGCTTGCTTTCAGTCTCTCCGATACACGGATGCTGCTTTATCACTGAATCTTTTCCCAACCGTCTACCTTTACTAATAAGTTGTCCCAACTCGACAACCTACCTATTATCTGCTGCACTTTAATTTGGTTTAAAAATTCATTAATTCCATTGCATTTTTGTAGATCGGTTCACCTCACAGCGTTGTTAAACTCAGGTAGCTGGTGTGGTCTCATTGACTTGCGCTACTCAGTGGTTTGCTGCTAACCCCCTCAATCCAGGTAGCTCCTTTTCAATAAAGTATGAAGTCACCGAATCCTATCTGCGATTGGCCTTGGTCGCAGGTGCATACTTTACTATGATCGGAAAGCATATGTGAATTGTTGTGGATCTTCCAAGACCGCCTGTGAACTACTTCAAGCGTATCACTATGAGCCTGTACAGCCATACCCTTAGCTTGGATGTGCTACTCATTGCCTTGTGGATCAGACTATTGAGTTGAAAGGAGGATGCTCCTCAGAGCGAACAGCTGGAGTGTATTGTTCTCCCAGATAGCACCGTCACCAGCAATCTTTCCCACTCCCCCTATTCTTTTTCAAGGACTTCGTCCTCATGTTTACTAGTTAGAGACCACTGCTGTTTTCATGAGACAGCGACTAAGCTGCTTTGTATTTTAAACCTGGGGCGTCACTTTTCATTTAGTTTTTCGATATTTGTACACCGTACACTCGTTAGAACTTTGGACCCCCTTGGAGTTGGTGTGTGTTGTCTCGAAAACACACAGGACAACAGCTTCTTATTCATTTATGCATATCATTCCCGGATCGTAATTATATGGCTTACATACTTCCCATCTCCGTGCATACCGAATATATAGCTCGCATTACCTACGACACTAGAAACGTGCAGCACTTAGAAGCTATACGCGCTGATTTTCGTTTACTAATAAGTAGTGGGAATTGGGCTATAATTTTGGATGTTCGTCGTAGTCCCTCTCAAACGTGTCGGAGCCTGCCTGATTGATAGGGGACTCGACGAATGACATACCTCTCCTACATTTATATCCCAGTGAGCCGTGGCAAGCGTGCTATTTCAGGTCTAAGCTTCATCTGAGTCAACAAGAAGCGGCCGTAGCCAACGTATTTTTGTTGTTTCAGTCTGCACTCTTACCATTTTGTGAGGTTGTTCTCTGTTTACTGAATGGCGAATACATATTGATCGTTGCAGGTGATAGGCTCAGTTCGGCCACTTATCAGCGTCAGAACATCACCTCGGAGACCATTCTCGAATGGGTTTGTCGCACTGACTGATGGCGATTTTCTGCATCTTTGTACTGATCACATTCTCTGTATCAGCAGCGCAGCTTCCCAGCACAAGCGTTCCCCTCATTGAATGATGGCTACCGAATTGACAGACCGCTCTGCACTCAAATTGACTACATCGACATCAGCCATAGTCGCAGATCAACGCAGAATTGTCTTTCGACCTGGAGCAGTGGTGTCTATTCTGACCATGCTTTTGTATGTGCCTGCATAACGTTCCCTATTCTTGCATCCACGAGGATTTACTTCAAGCATGCTCTTCAACTGTATTCGCAGTTCGTGAAATAGTAATTACAGTCTGATTTGCAACATCAGCTTTTACTGATAAAGTAGTCAAGCTGACTGCTGGCTAGAATCGCGTTCAGCCGACCTTGTCGTGGTAATCGAGATCGCTTGTCCACAGATCATGATTTTTCAGGGCGTTACCCACTTATGAATACATAGATTATAAACATATTAATTGAACGAAGGGTTTATAACACTTCATTACTGCTGTATGGATCAGAGATCTGGTCGCTACGCGCTGATCAGCCGTGCCTTCGCAATGTTGCTCAGATTTAATGAGAGAACCGAGTGGAAAACGCGGCATTCCATCTTATGTACAGCAATAGACTTTTTGTTGTCTCCTTGAAGCACCCCTTGAATATAAATCGCCTACAGTGCACCAGCCATGGGCCCCGCATAGTTGCAAGCCGACTTCCTAGGCGTGTATTGCTTACCCATACGGGGCCTATTTGGGTGAAATCCCGAGATGGCTAACCAGTGACCTGGTAATAGTGTATGAGAAAACAACCAATGGCTGCGTCTGACTTGTCGTCTTCTCGGATCGTGCCCTCGGGACCGGCAATTGGACGACTTATCGGATATGACGGGGTCACTGTCACTTGCATTCGTTGTCTTATTTCTGGGTCCTGACTACCTCATCTGGTGATTTTATTTCTCATTCCGGTATATCGGTCGAACGGCGCGGCACCTGTCCAAACGCATGAACGAACACTGTCCGCGTTGGCTACATCGAGGTGGCACTGGAGCCATTAGTAGCTCTATCCTGGCTCATATTGTCGACAGCGGACATCAAGTGGATCTAGAGCGTGACTTTAGAGTAGTATACAGAGTTCCGCCGCACCGATCAAAGGGTCAACGTCTCCGTACACTCGCAACGTCCGAATCGATTTGTATCCGATCATTCCGACCATCGTTATGCTCGCAACAGAAGTTAATTAAGGCTGTTCAGCTTCCCTGGCCCGCAAAAGCGGATGATAATGAGGTCAATGGCGCGAGGTCAAGAAACCCGTAACTTTTAATTAACCCGTTTTCGATTTTTTACCCTACGTTAATTGTATCAACTATGTCGATCTTACCCTTTTTTAACCCTATATATGATTGTATCGGTCTGAAGATGAATCATCGAAAGCAATTGCTCACCAAGTGGTCTCTTTGTTCTCATTTCTCATTCCCTTCTAATTATTCTCAGTATTAATATTCTGACGATGTACGTTATGGGAACGATTTACTCACCTATTTCTCTGATCATAGTTGTTAGTGTGAATTGAATTACACATTATGGGTCGTCCCCATCTTTTCTCCTTATGCTTCTCTTGTACAACTTTCATTCCGCCTGTAGAAGTCGTACGGGATTGCTGCGGAATGATGTAGATAGTCACTCTCCTCGTTTGTCGCATCATTACTTTTGCTGCCGGTCGCGGGCTGAGCAGTTAGCGCTTCTAGCTTGTAATCTCTAAGTCACCGTTTCGAGTCCACGTAAGTGCGAGTAACCCCCAATACCTTCAGCCGGCAAACGGCTGATGATAGATGTGTGGCTGCCAAGCGTCGGTGCGATATGCCTGTATACCACTGCCTACTTTTGCTGTCGGACTCGGTCGGTTTCTTATTTAGGATGCCGTGTCGTATCCGATTTACCCTTTATGTTTCACTTCTCGTTGCGGTACCCTAGACTTCGCAGCACGTGATTATTATACCTCCGTTTTGTTCGCTTTATACTGTATATATACTCTTCGCCCGGCATATTTTCAGCGAAACTGCATCAGACTACCTTGTTTTACCTGATCGGCACCTTCATTAGAGTCTTGTCCGATCGCCTTCACAACGTTTCGTTTCCATCACGTCATGTTGTGCTCTTAAGCTCCTTTGCGCTGAAACATTCCTTGTTTTTGAAAGCTTCATCCCTTAAAATCTTTTTGTACAGGTCATGTCTGACGACAGGGACGATGTAGTGGGACCTCTGCCTTCCGAGATGACTGTACCAGATTCCGATGAGGATCATGAAGGCACCGTTGGCCCTCTACCTAGTGAAATGCAGCCAGCAGAAGAAGATACCACTCAGGTGGAACTACCTCCACCTCCTAAAAGGAAGAAAAGGGGTAAGCGAAGCTAGTCTGTGACATGCTCAATCCGTTGCTGACCTATCTACGCTCATTGTTGTTCCTAACGAGCTTGACTTGTACGTACAAAATGTAAGTGTCACTTGGTGTCGGTAGCGTTGCTCAAAATGTCGAACAGCAACCGTAGCCCGATCTTCGTCTCTTTTTCGTTTCGGTCAGTGAACCTCCAGCTCAAAGCCGTTACCTGTACCACCTAGTATGTACTAGCGTTTCACTGACTTCGGTCCCATTTGAATCACTGCATCCTCATACTTATAGCCACCAAGGCTGTCTCAGTGACCTCTTGACATTACTCCGCAGTAATGTATGGACATTCTCGGGAGAATAGTGTTTGAACGCGGGATCGTAATCTGAAGCGAGATGGTGTTCCAGTTACGCGTCTTAGTTGACCAACTTTCTTCATATTCTGCCGTGACCTTGTGAGTATAAGCTCAGAAAAGATGCACTCAAACATCCTACCACCATTCCAACAAACCACATCAGCTCTTGTAAAATCAGGAAGCAGCATGGAGGCTTTTTGCTTCATTTTCCCTTTGCAACCATTCCGTGCAGCCAAACCACTCTACTCCCCTCGTGCTGACCAACGATTAGTGTCTATCCATGTGTGGTTTCTTAGTGAGCCTATTTTCATTCTTATGTTCGAACTTCTGTTCTCAAGGAACTGGCTCTGAATCAAATGATTTAGGTTGAAGCATCTGACTATTGGAAATTATGTATCTATGTTCTCACTATCTTATGCTCCCATAGTCTTGTATGATAGATTCAAGGCGGATGACCTCTGCTACCTTGTGCCCAATTTTTCTTGTGGAATAGCGTCAACGTGATACTAGTGTGCTTTTGCTCGCACCATCGCTCATGGATGTTTACTTTGGCTTGTGTAGCATACCAGCCTACTCCCGAATGATCACGAACTGTTGAAATTGCTCTTTTCATAACGAAATCATTACATTCACCTGCTCGTCTATTGTGGAGTTGTTGTTGCACCTGTTCTTTAAATTTTAGTCATCATCTCATTTCCAATTTACACCACACTGCATGCTCACATATTCCCTTATTCTTTCTTCATTCTAGTTCTCAAAGGCGAAGCCTTGTATTTGCGAAACATCCCTACAGCACAGTACTATGAAGTGAGCTATATGCACCGAAGTATCATCACGCATGTGATGTACACAAAGTGAGCATTGACATTCAGCATTGTCACCGCTAGCGACTGTTGATGAATCCATCATTCTAAGCTCATTCGTACAGCATATTTATCACAACTCAGGTCACACTATTATCAGCGCTGTCCATATTGGGAGTAGAAACCTATGACATTTCACGCAGTTACATAAAAGGTGCAAAATCTTGCAAAGAAATTGGTTCCCCCTTCTAACCGAATTTTTTTTACCGTATTTAAATATTAATTATTGATTCCGCAAATTAAGGGGAATATAGCTCATGCAGTTGTAAAATATATTTTAGGTGTAAATTTAGGTATGATGCAAATTCGCGACATCCACCGGGCAAAATAGCTACTAAACAAATTTTCACATCTCAGCGATATAATTATTTTATCGATGCAGAAATTAGTTAATTTCTTCTGTCCACCATGCAATTTACAACTACTATTTCGTCACAGCCATAAAACGTCGAATAAGGAGGAACAGTGTTACACATGAAATTCTCCAGAGCAGTTCTTCGTTTTGCTGAGGCACAAGTGATTAGTGCACTTTGTGCACTTGATTACTGTCTGGCCCGTAGAATTTGGGTGTTTGCATTTTTGTCGTGCACTATCAATCACTGAGCAGTAGCGACTCACAGAATCTGACCGCATTTCCAATGGTTTAATATCGCTAGCTGGACCCCGGCATTTGTTTACTTTGGACTCCGTTTCAGTTCATGATGAAGGCCTTCCTCTCTTCTCCTTTGCCTCGAGGACTTCTGCGATAGATAAACTAGCAACAAGCAAGCACGGCCAATGAGTCGCAATCACTTCGATAGAGTAACCGGCTGTTGACTGACACCATGTCGACAAAATGGAAAAATACCTGTGGTAGTACTTTCCATACCTGGTATGGATCCGACAGTAAACAAGCAGTGCATCCAGAGCATCAACGACGCTCATGAGCTTATTATACAGGGTGATGACGCTCAGACACTCCACAGATACTTCTGCTTTCAAGTTTCTGTCCCATTTTTGTATATTGCAAACTGGCTACATGCTGGCAACAAAAATTGTTCTGTTGTCAAACTATTTGACAACTCTTGATTCTACATTATTAACAATTACTGTCTCTTCTTCAAATGTCCCTCTGTCCTTTTTCATGTCCGCCTCTTCACTGACACTGCACTCTTGTAAGCGATTTTGCTGTACTTTCCCGAGGGCTGATATTCTTCGTAAGCGCAACAAATAAACGCAATGTGGAAAAGACCTTATCCAAATATAGTAACATGTTGACATTGTCCCGAATAACTTGTACAAGTTGTATACCACTGATGTCAGGTACAAGAGGAACAGGATCAATTTTTCCTGTGAATATATCAAATGAATGCACATCCTTTTGTATCACATTTTTTGATTTCTTAGAAATATATTTCTTCACACAGCACCTTCCTTTAAATGGGACCATTTTCTCGTCAACACTGAAACTTTGAAATATCTGCACAAGAATTCCAGTTGTAGGACAATGAACCGCCAATAGTGCCGAGCGTAGCGATAAACCCACAAACCATTCTATTGGTAATGGCTTCTAAACTTGCCATCTTAGACAATTCATTCTGGTAAATTAATAGTAGCAGTGGTCAGTCAGTGAGTAAATATAATTTGCTTGGCAACTTCCCTAAATTTTTGAAAAGGTCCTCAAAATTATGAACCGAAATCCACGTCAAACCTACGCTTACACTCATACGTTCAGGTAGTTTTAACTTCAAATCAAACGCAAAGTACGATGAATTGCCGTGCAGATAGAATCCAATGTACGTCCCGAAAACGCCAGCACCGGCACTGATGGAAAATACTAACACTGTAGGTTGCATTTGCGGAAGAAATGGTCTGAAACATTTTCGCCACCTACGGTGTTGAGGTTAAGCTCAATTGAAGTAACAATATACGATTTGTGAGTAGGTTTGGATGTTGCATTCTTGATGCTTCTTCACCGCAGTTGGGCTAAACCAACTTACACTTAAACTAGGTCTTCTTAAGCTGGATAAATTTCATTCCGTTTTATTTGGTTTGTTCTGCCTCCCTGAATAATGTTCTATTAACTGGCCACGTTGCTTACACTAATTGCGCTTATCTTCGGTAATTTTGTTGCGTTTGTAGCATTTTAAGTAACTTGTGGACATTTCTTACTTATCACGGATTTGTTGCTAACCAAATTACTTCATATGGTGATTTAGCGAAGAGTTATGCCACCGTATCTGTATGCATTATTGGATTTATTTTATTTCAGCTTGTCGTTTAAATTGAATGGCTGTTGTTTGATATCCCTGGTATGGTTGCTCTTGATGTGTATGTTGACAAGGTGCCTACCTGTCTATTACCCACTACCTCGTCCATACTGGCTCCAGGAGACAGTTGGTCGTTGCTGGAGGGGACGGGGTGCACGGTTCTTGTGGCCGTGCTAGGCTCAAAGAGCGGTTCCATACACTCAGTGTGGAGCGGACTACGGTCCAGCCACCGCCTTGTGTGCGGTTGATTCCCCAAATACAGCGTGCTTGTGTTTGCCTGTGAAGGAGTGTGGGCCGGCTCCGTTGATGAAACGTGGTTCCCATCCGCATGCCTCCCGGTCTTATTCCTTCGGGTTTACACTGGATATGGGGTATGTGGTTGGAGCTGTGGGTGGTGCAGCGCAAGCCATCCATGGTCCCTCTGTAAGCGCAGGCGTCCTGTGGCTTGCCACAGTGACAGGCAAATCCGAAATCGGATGCCGCCAACCAATTACAGATCTCCTACAGTGTCAGGCGGCCTTTCAGCGTGTCCGCAAAGAACTAGCTAGCCGTTTCGTCCTATCATGACACGTCGGTAGTGCGCACTCCCGGGCTCCAGACGCCGGCACTTTATGCCCACATGGCTTTCTAATGCCGTCGTACATAGCTCCTTTACGAGAAATTGTGGTTCTAGGAAACTGCCACATGCTCTTCAAACTTAATGGCTTGCATGGAAGTACAGGATTACCTTAACCGCTTTCACGCATAACCTAGTGACAGGCTGTCTCCGCCATCAGTAATATCATGCGTTCGGCTCCTATAGGAGCCAGGAAAGTCCCAAGAAGACGAAACTGTCATTTGTTGCATTTGGGATGCGTGAAGGACCCGATTAATTCTCGTTAGACACAACATTTGAGGCAAGAAGTTCCATTTATATTTCCAGGTTTGAGAATTGGAAGACGGAGACTATGGAATGACGTCATTTTATACAATCTTGTCAACCGCGTCGTCAGTGACTTCATTTCCCGCTGCCAAGCCAACTTCCGTCCATCTCGAGCCTTGCGCCGCCCTACACCTGGCAGACTAAACAAGGCCCTCCTAGGTAAACAGTGACCAGGCATACGTAGCACGTGCCCGAGCTAACGCAACTTATTCAGTGCTCTGTTTTTCTAGGGAGCTAGCATGATTATCACTAACTCGTTCTCGCCTACCCACATCATAGTTGCGCACACGCTGGTGCCATCCGACACCAAAAATGCTTCGCAGACAACTATGGTCAAAGACTTGAAGATTCCTCAGATCTTCAGACCGAAGGGGGCAAGTCTTATTCCTCTAGAGCAGAACGACCCTCACTGTGGCTTTGTATACATGGTCTTTCAGACGGAGAGAAATTTCCTTCTGTCGCCAAAGATGCCGCAGACTCAAGAAGGCAGTTCTGGTATTTACAAGGCGTGAGCTGGTGTCAGTTTCTATGCGCTCATCATTGCTGATGCAGCCGCCAAAATAAGAGAATTGATCAACCACCTCGAGTTCCTCGTTGGCAAGGGTCAAGGGGTCATAAAGTGGCTGGTGTACTGCAGCAACACTTTGCGATTTGAAGGTGCGAAGTGCATACCAAATAATGGGACCACTCTGGACAGGCTATTCAGGCTATTCCCCATAAATATACTCACGGATACTCGGTAAAAAAAATGAAGTCAACTCAAAATGAATGTCTATGAACCTCTCTTCTTCAGATGCAGAAGCTTCAAGTGAGGTGTTAAGTAGGTAAAAATCGAATTTGCGTTTCTATTATGTCGGACTTCGAGTACGCTTTAATCGAAGATGTCATTCACTAGCTTGATTCAGTCCTTATGTCGCCCCCTTCAGATTCTTCTACCATGCCGTCACTTGGTCACCCCGGTATTCCACTCAAGCATGTTCATTATCAACAAATACTACTCACCAGGGTATCCGACACACAGACATGTATGTGACACTGCAGCGTGAGCGAGTCCAACAATCAATCCGATGCGGCCCATGATTCCTGATGCTAAACCTCATCTGTCCCACTTCATTATCACACAGTGGGCACTACTTAATTGCCATTGCTGGTTAGCTACAACTAGTCTTTCCTTGTCTTCGTTTTACGGTGGCCATAACGACGAACCATAGTTGCGTCGCACACCATCCGCCTACGTCCCGCCATCTCTGTGGGCGACTGAAGCTTCGAAGACCCACACAGCTCCTGTCAACGCAGCCAGTCACATCACCGTGGGTTCACATCTGCCTGAGCATGCGAGGGGTTGGTTAGGGATCATCATTTGTTAGTACGTCAACCCTATCTTAGGATCACATTTCAAAGATGTTTTCAATGGAGCACACATCACTTGCATATCAGCTGATTCCGAGTTAAAAAGTGCTGTGCTGGGACAGTCGCTTTATCGGCAGAGACTACTTCACACAGTTGGAAGAAGTTCATTCACGATCAGTCTGATCACACATGCTTCTGCTAACAAATCTCATTTGTTCGTAAGTAGTAGGGGGATTTATTAGTTTTTTGTGTAGCCTCGTTGCAGTTAGACACAGACAGACAACTACCACATATCTAGGAAAGCGCTCGACGGCCGCTTCGTCCTATTGGGACTCGTCAGTAGCGCGCACCCGCCGAATCCTGCAGGATTCGAACCCACGACCTTACTCTTGCGAGTCAGCGACTTATGTCACTGAGACATGGGCGACGGCAGTGGACCGCCATGACTGATATCTAATCTCATTTGTGTTGGACTCAGCAGACAGCTGTGGTTGTTGCGGTATGTGTATTTTCACATACAAGGGCTCCCTGGTACGCCATTTAGTGATGCATCCTCACAAACACACTCACTCAACTGAATCAAGACCACCTTCAATCAAGGAAGATTATCGTTATGAGTAGTGTTCATGCGGCATGTTCAAGTCCCCACGATAAGGGAATTTATGCTCAATAGACTACCGAAGCAAAAGCCTGCTGGATTTCACTAACTTGTTTAGGGGGTTTAGTGATTTGACACTGCGCCACATTCATGATTTGGTGATCATGATGATGACGACTATATCACCCTCTCTTACCGACTAACCTTTAGCTGTTTGAGGATGACCTCCAGCAACATTCATTCTGAGTTTTCCCTGTTTCAGCAAATTGTCGCAGTGGCCATAATGGCTCCCAGTATGTCACAACCGTCTTTGGACGTCGGAATCCAGTACCACGTCTCGGTTCATCAACACCTGTTGCTTACTGATCCTGCCAGGGATGGAGATAAATCAATCCAGCCGACCTAACATTGGACGGGGTTCCAGTGGTCCGGCTGAACTGTCCTCCGAATTTATCGCACAGAAGTTCAGTCCCTCGTGCTTGCGATCGACAGTCAGACATTATCTTGCCCGCATTGGCTACCGATATTTTATAAATTAAAGCCCTCGTCACTTCGTGTGCGACTACCGCCCACAAAGATGTGTATGTATTGTTTACTCCCACTTCGGCGTTGCCCAAAAGGCATTAACAGTAAGACAACGGGCGCATGGTTACGCTCGGAAGTCGGCACTATTTCTCTTGCCTCTTTCCATTTGTTTCATTTACACTTTCAGTTCACGAATTAGTGATGAGCTTATAACAACTTTACCTACTTCGTCACGCTGTCCGAATCTCATTTATTAAGCGGAATCCTGCACACAAGCTAGTCAGCTCGACTAGGTCTGCCGGTGGCAGAGTTGACAAAGCGTCTGGCTCACAATCCATAGGTCACCGGTCCGATCCTGCGAGGATGCGAGCGACCTCGCACGAATACCAGTGTGTTGCTGGCGGTCTTGACAACTATTCATGTATCCACTGTGTAATGAGCGTTGAGAGATAGCAATACTTGTGAGCTTCATTCGGCTGGATCCTACCTGATTTGCCCTATTCCTCTCCCCCCCCCCCCCCCAAGAACTCAGTATCTACTAACCTGCAGTAACGATGGCCATTTGAAATTTTGGCGGAAGGCAGATGGTCTCGGGTTGGATTTCGTGAAACATTATCGCGCACACTTGGGTAAGTTCGTACCGCTGTTTTCTCCCTTCATGATTGATCCCATCCTCTCTATTGGCCCGTCAGGCAGTTGTTCAATATTGCAGGCGGTTGTTATGCTTTCGCATGAAATTTGATTTCAGTCTACTAGATGCACCCATTATTTCAACACCTGAGCAGTCCTTCGGTTAGTTATTACTTCAATCCATTGTGTGATTTACGGGCCAACGGACGTTTGTTTGATACGATACGATTTCCACGTGACTGTTTTCCATTTGCGCCCTTCTTAGTTAGGCTTACTTCACTGCGCCCCGATTCTTCCTCCAGTTATCTGGACCGGAACCCTATTGCCGTCGACACTGCTCTGTTTTACATGTTAGATACTTCCTGTTCTAACCGCGACTGAATGAAACAGCGAGTTCTTTTGGCCTAGGATCACGCCAAGACAAAATAAACGAAACTTGATGTGGCGGAAATTTGGAAACTTGGTTTTATAACCGTTCTTCAAATTTGCAGAAGTGGCTTACGACTGGGTTTGTAGACAACCTGTATGTTGTTTAACAGTGATATGTCCGACTCAAATGATATGATCAGTGATGAAACGGTCAGCAACGCCAGCTGTGAAAGTGCACGACAGTAGTGTGTACTCGCGACATTACTATTAATCACAGTGGTGCAGATAAACAAAAGTCGACCAGCGACCGAAAAAATATTGCGTGCTTGTGTTGTAATCCTGAGGTCGCCGGTTCAAATTCACGTTGGTGCGGGTGACCTCGTGGTATACTTATCCCTCGCACGACTGATGGTAGTCGCGTGGCGGCAGCGAAATGTCGGTACGGTTTACTGATACATTATGCTCTTAGTCACGATGTGGGTGGTTTGGTACAAATGAACCTTGTCTATGAAATCCGGCAATATTCATTCACTGGTGAGCAGCCAAAGGATGGACAATTGCAGATTTGCAACTTGTGAGTTTGTGCCTTACACACTTGTTGGTTACAAAAGATGTTGCCTTTAAGTACAACATTCTGTTATCCAGCCCTGCGACGAGGATGTGACTGAGCCATAAAAACAGGGGAGAGCATTGAAATAAGCTGGGAGTGTTAATTGCACGCTGTGCTACCAAGGCCGGATAAGGGAGAGGGAGTTGTTCATCCGGACAGTACTGAACACCGGATCCAAGTGGTTGGACCAGTCGATGTTCCTTCAACTTATTGAAGGTTGATAGCGGTGACAAAACTTCAGCGGTTGGCAAGGTGCTGTCCACATTTTTCGGATACACGCGGCAGGAAGAACTGCAACTCGATGACGTTTGAAGATGGTCCTCCCGTCCGTATCGCGTTTTCTAGGCTACATGTGTTATGGATCCTAACAACATTTCTGTTAGCTTTGCCGTGGTCCCCGAGTCGCTCTGATTGGCTGGTCAAGAAGACGAAACTTTGGGTATCAAGGCAATAACCGCAATGAGACGACCAACACAACACAACCACGTCAGTTATTAAATACCATTGGCCTTTTAGATTGTTCCTCGTTCTTTTTGCTTTATGATTTGCTGAAAATGGTACCAGGTGGTTCATAAACATTTTTCTGTCGGTGGGTGTAATTGTCCTCGGAATTATGATGAAACGGCTAAATTTTAACTAACAAAAGATACTCCAATAGATTAGTTGGGAGAATTCCTCATCACACCTCCCTGTTCAAAGTCCATTTACGACTTTCATTCTGAATTAACTTCGAACGGCATAACGGGAACTCTGTGGCGGTCCATCCATCTTCTGGGGTGGCAATACGGCGATATCAGTGTAGTAGTGGGCTCCTCTTGAATGGCTGCCTCTAACCTTGACTTTAATTCACCCAAAGTATTTACTGTATTTACTGAAATGCATCTTCGGACCTGGTTGATATGGCAACCCGCTTCGAAATAATCTGAATTCAGGTTATCCCGCACAAATGCTGTTCGTTCTTGCTCTCTTAAAATTTCTGAAGGGAAATGGCTGCATGAAACCCGCTTCTCATTGACCGCGCTCGTCCCATGACAAGCATGGCCGTATCCTTTCGCAACTAGCCCACTTAATCTTGCAATCCTGTCACTCCGATGGTGTTTTGCCGACACCATCTGCCCAATGTCGAAGTTCTGCGGTACTCCGTGGTATCTCCGATTGCACAGAAGTTACATTTTCTAGTTTCTTCCAGAATTCCGAATTTCAGAAGGTTTTGTGAGGTCTACCGTTCTCCGTTTTCTCTGCAGCAGCGATTATGCAGGGTGTTTTCCGTCCAGTGTCTGTGGATTGGATGTGATTCTGCACATTAGCAAAGAGATCTGAAGGAACTTTTGTGGCGGCTTATCTCTGTTTGGAGCAAGCTCCTCTTAAAGGTATCCGCAGGCCTTCGATTGTATTCATTAGATTAAAAATGACACGGAAGCGAGCGAAAGTCCCACATTCCGTGCATCGCACACAATTCAGCGTGTTGCGAAAACTGAGGCACGTTGTCTCGTGTCACTTTTCGAATATCCGGCACAAATTTATGAATCATCGGTTGGTTCCAAGCGTATTTTGAGGTATCGAATTTCTCAGGAGCGTTTATGATGACTGATTTAGAGGTTTTAACCTTTTCTGAGTCTCAGCTCACTCAGTGTGCATCAGAAATTAACAAAAAACTCAACTCTGATTCGCTCTGAAGAAGCATGGTTTTGCTGGCTCGCGCCAGAAAAACTGTTTCTACCTCCGAAAGATTTCGCTACTAGCGAGCACCTTGAGCGCAAGCTTGTTAAGTCCACAATTTGAGAATCTATGAATAGCCAGTCGGTGTAACGTTTCCCCTGCGCTTTCATTCTGCTGACGCCAGGTCATCAGCCATGGAACTGCTTCAGAGTTCTGAACTAGAGTTCCACGGGAATAACGACACATTTCGAAGGCAGAGCACAGTCTTGGACGATTGACAACTCACTTCGCTTCCGAGAGTATTGATTTATTTAGGTCCGAAATCTTTCGCGGTCACTGAACGGTTAAGCCTGCTCACTTGTGACTGTAGCGGGTCACATAAAGTTTCCCTTCGGATCAGACTGAAAAACATCTGGCGCCGATTCGTTGTGTCTGGTAACACATGGTTGGCCTGCATTTCGGTCGTGATGTTGGCAACCACCGTATTTTCTGTCTGATGCTATTCGTTCATCATTTGTGACAGCGCACAGGCCTGACAAATGTCCTCGATCGTTTGCTACTTACTACTGAAATCCTATACGAGCAACATTGTCCCCCGCCTCTGTAGACGATTGAACGTGCATACTTGATCCCCTTCTTTGACCCGAATATTGCAACAAAAGGTCTGTGATCCGTTTAGACAGTTAACTGGGTGCATTTTGCAATGTTGCTTCACCGTAGACACGATGCCCAGTGCTTCTTTTCCATTTGATTGCTGTTTCTTTCCGCTGAGGTCAACGACGGAGTAGCGTGAACGCTTGGCTTTTCAGCTCCTTCCGGAAATATGTGCGGGATGACTGCACCCGACCTCTTAACGAGAAACGTGTGTCCATGGCCAAGCTGCAGCTCTCACCTCGTTAGAACTACATTCATTACTTCACATCCATGTCAGTAGGTCCATTTGAATCGCTGCGTAGGGCACTTAAATTCATTCAGATATTCCCTTTGGTATGCTACCTTTTCAGATGCGCCACTGTCACGTTGATCAGATGGGTCATTGCAACATAGAATTTGCCAAACGGCAACTTGGGCTGGTCAATACACGCACCGCAGTTGCCCAGTTGTTAAACGGCTGGCTGAACTAGGCAACCCGATTGCAGACTTCCAGAAGGCTTATCGATTCCGTTGCAGTTACTGACACAAGACATTTTTAATTATTTTGAACCGCGATTGTCTTTTGTCGCTTCTAGAAATCAGAGTCTGGTTCGATGTATTTTCATGACACGGAAAATGCTCATAGACTAAACTTATCCTGAGCCACTCATTGCCAAGGATATGCGGCTTGATTGAAGGCTCACTAAAAGTTGGCTGCTGAAAGGAACTCCATGCAGCCCCCTTCGTCTTACGCGTGAGACACTTGTCGCAGATATTAGAAGAACGTTGTGTGATGTATTCGACACTGGCCATATCGCCTCTTTAGCTGAGGAACAAAGTTGGTTGTGCATGCTAGCTGTTCTTCTGTGTGCCAATTCGTCTACTCCTCTGAAGGGCATCAGCATTACCCCGGGACGCAGTACCGACGCCTTGCTGCTGCGCAACTACCACCAATCACACGCCGGCTAAGGATACTGCGAGGACCACCCGGCTCGAACCCGCGCCCCCGGATTACAAGGCAGGCTACGGGCTTCTATGAAACAAACTACCACCACACGATGCTTGCCTGATCGCATCCGGCGACAACACTCAGTGTGTACCTCAACAACACGTACCACTGCTCTCGTCCCATACGTGGCCAATATGGGTTACTTATTCTCATCAGGTAGAGGTAGAAGACATCAAACTCGGGATCATTGAGATATTAGTTGGGACCCCTACTCCTTTAGCCACCGGGTTATAGCGGGCAACGCTTTGCAAAACGATTAATAATTGACATTGAGGGTCATTTTGAGGCACTTGTTACGTGAATGGATTGTGACGCGTAATCTCAGTGTGGACCGCGATTCACGTTGAAGTGGACCTTGTTCATTCGATCACTAGGACCATGGCTGAAGCAGATGGAAATTACGTGTTGCCCGCCCGAAAACACTGCACTATACGACCGACTTCGAACCTATTTTATCTCATTACTTAGAGATAGTGGGCATCTTCATCAGTTTCGGTCCCATTGATCGGGCTGACCAACCTTCACATCAACGTGAGTCGCGGTCCACATTGTGATTACGCGTCGCAATCATTCACACAACGAGCACTTCGAAGTGACCCTCCAACGCGTTACTTGTTTGTTTATCCATCTTTCGCCCCAGCTCTCAGTAACAGGCAGTGTTGCCATTCGCTCTCACATAAGTTATTCGTGACGCCATTTCTATGACCACACTAATCACGTACTCAAATCATACTAGTGCACCATTTCAGTTGCCACCACCCATCGAGAAATTTATCTCACCCTAGTTTTTACTGGCTATGTTTTTGTCTTTTACTAGTCCTGCATAGGGAACACCGAAAAGCAGCTGGGCGGTTACACCGATTTTCCATTTTTCTCTAAGTGGCGCACCCAGCTGAATGGATAGCTTGACAGCCACTCTTACTTTGTAAAATATCTTCTTGTCTCGGAATCCCTGACAATCCCTCTTGCTTTCCAAAGCTAAACACACTCCCTAGTCTGTATTTTGTTGCCGTGGTGTCTGTTTCGAAACCTGTTCACGCTCTGTTGCCTGAAGCGACACCGGAACCTCACATTTGTCATTGTTCTCTTAATTCTCGTCAAGGGATCTGAAATCCGACATCCGTTTTCAGATACATTTCTCAGTTATTTGTTAGTGTTCACTTGTCTTTGCCCACTACTTGACATCTCTTTGTTGTGGCGTTCCAACCATTCTGATCGATTGGCGAATGATGCAGAAATATGGGGGCTACTGATTCTCACTGCTGTCCTTTTGCTTATCGAAACGTTGACTTCTAAGTGCCTTCCACTCCACTCCTGCTAGGTGGATACTTTCAGGCTAGTCGCACCTTTATGTGGCCGATTTTGTCTGCTCTTTCCTGGTTATCATTACGGCATTGTTAGTCAGCCTTGAGAATCTTGTTGTTCTGTCTAACTTGTTCGTTTTGACATCTTTCTGACTACCCATAAACCTATGTCCATCACTGCCGTTACCCCGTACTCCTTACAATAACCGCGTCACTTTTTTTCACCATAGGTACGATTCTCGGCCTATCCGTCAGCTGCGACGGCGAACTGGCGTGCACGGTCGGTGATGACAAGACCGCAAAAGTGTTTGATGTAATCAATTTCGGTAAGCTACGTTCAGCATCCGTTGCTTCTCAGAGATATGCACTTCACTACCTATACCTCTGTTCGTAAGCAGCGTTCGTTTTCTGCTGATACCGTCAGTACTGCTGTTCCATTGCTGCTGACTTGGATGCGGACAGGACAGTCCATAGTACAATTTTAGACGTTGCACAGTCTGTTTATGCGTGTGTCATGACTCTGTGCTTTTGACATACTGACATAGTGCATCGGTCCTTTTGCTTGGTGCTCTCAAAAATCGTACTGCCTCTGGGTGGGATGTCGTACTCCTCTATGAATCATCATAGACTGGTCAAGGTTCAACCGTGGCGTCCACAAACTCCGAGTCAACCGATAGTTGCATGTGTTTGGCTCGTGGTTCCCCTTCGCTATTTCGATTCCACCTTGATTACATTGTAATCCATGAAAGCGAATGGTAGCTGTACTTGGCCTGCTAGTGCACATCTGGTTTTAATCGGAGACAGAAGTAAGCTTCTATCTGACACTAGGTTACCGGTGTGTCGGTTTAGCTCCATCGGCCTCTCGTGATCTCCTCAGCTTATAGTTTAGTGAATGTCAGCTATTCTTCCGGAAGGCAAGAGCACTGAGTTGTCGTCCGCCGATTCCAGTTTGCATATTTCACTTCCGGCTCTCGCCACATCGACGAGAGATTTCAACCGGAAACTCCGTAACAGTGGGCCCGTGATGCAGCTTAATCTACGGCCATCTGCCTAAAGCCAGGCATCAGACTTTCCCATAGGCAGGGGTGAATAGCATCCATTCGGCAGTTATTTCCATCTCAATAGTAGTAGTAGTAGTAGTAGTAGTAGTAGTAGTAGTAGTAGTAATAGTAGCAGTATCAGCAGCAGATATGGTACTATGTAGTTAGAGCTACACCCAAATACCTTTTCCGTTAGGTCGGTCTACATGTTCCAAACACGTGTGTTCAGTTATTCTTGGGTAGCATATACTACTTATGTCACAAAAACCACGCTTCTCCCAGCTTCTCAGATCTGCCTCGTTCTACTGTCCCCTGCATCGTGAAGACTGAAACATCATGTAGTGCAATGGATTGCATACCCACCGTGACTCACTGGGTTTCGTTGAATGACACTTCCATAAAGCACGTATATAGTTCTGAGCAACTCAATATCCTTCAGAAAAGACTGGGGATTACCGATTTTTAACTATTCGCAAAGAGAGGTGGGTCATCAGCATCATTATACACCTTAGCTGCAGGTGGAAAACACCTTAGCTTTTGTGCCGCAATACAAAAGACAAGCAGAAAAAATGCAACAGACTGAGACTGAGACTGTATTTAAGAGCAAGTAGAAAGGTTTCTGTACAACTCTATCGAATTACGAAAAATCAAAATTTACTTGTGAATTATCAGCAGTTGTGTCTGGTCCGTTAATCGTTTATCCGTGTTCGGTTAGAAATTTGTACTAGCGTCATTTTTTCCGGACATACAATGTCTTCTTTTGGCACTGTATGTGCATCGTTTCACAAAAGCACAGGTTTCCAAAATAATCGTCGATACGGGTTTTAAAACACTTCACAGAATCGGCCTCTATTAATCCTTCTGGTAGTGTATTCCATAAGTTTACGATTCTTCGTTCGATACAAAGCTGATGTGATACTTTGTTCATACTGGGGACCCTGAGTTTGTAACGATGTCCTCGGGTGTTACAGGGTTCTCGCAGGTGAAATATTGGCCGTAGTATGGGGAAGTGATTCAAGTGTAGTACTCGATGGGTCATAATAAGATCAATTCTTACTCGGCGATAGGATAGTGTGTAGAGTCCGAGCTTTTCACAACGTTTTTCATATGGAAGCTTTCGTAGACTTGGTATCATTCTAGTTGCGAGGTGCTGTATTTTCTCCAGTTTTTCAGTTTCCAATTGGGTTATCGGATGGTAAGCTGGGGCACCGTATTCAAGGATTGGTCTAATGAGCGAGGTGAATAGACGAGGGACGGTTTCTTGGGACCATGTGGAGAAACTGCGTCGTAATGCCCAGAGCATACGAAGTCCCGCACGGTACAATTTCTCTGTATTTTCTAGTGATCTTAAATCATGTCGTGAGAGAACTCCTAAGTCTCTGACAGATGTGTTGGGATAGAGCAACTGGCCGTCCAAGGTGTATGATCGAGTGGCTGGACGTCTGGTGATACTGATGAACTCCGACTTGCTTGCGTTAAGAGGGAGTTGCATTTCAGTGGACCACGTTGACAGTCGCTCTAAGTCATGCTGGAGGCGAGCGCAGTCGTCCTGGTTTTCAATGATCCTCCAGATTTTCAAATCATCTGCAAACAGGACACATGGTGACTGGAGCTGCTGCGGAAGATCGTTGATATGAATAAGAAATAATGCTGGCCCAAGTACAGTTCCTTGAGGCACGCCACTGGTCGATGGGAACCATTCTGTCAGATAGTCATTGACCTGTACTCTAAACCTTCGTCCCACAATAAACTCTTGTATCCACTGAAGTAACTTGCCACCGATTCCGTATGTCCTCAGTTTACGAAGGAGTACCTCGTGGTTCACTCTGTCAAACGCCTTACTAAAGTCAATGTACACCACGTCAACATCCTTCTGTTCATTGAGAGCTCGAACCCACTGGTGGTTTGCGTACATCAAGTTGGTGATGCAGGATCGCCCTTTCGTAAAGCCGTGTTGCGCTGGCGTCAATACGTCCATCGATTCGAAGAACGATAGCAGACACTTTTTCACAACCTTCTCGAGAACTTTGGATAATACCGAAGTCAAACAGATCGGTCTATAGTTCTCTATTTTACTCGGATCACCACCCTTGGGAAGCGGTTTAACTATCGAGCATTTCCAGTCGTTCGGGACGGATCCTTCAGAGAGCGATCTATTGAAAAGGTTTGTCACAACTGGTGAGATGATAATCGATGGGGACTTGAGTATTAGTGGGTGAAGTCCGTCTGGCCCGGGGGGCTTTGCACCATTGAGGTTGACGAGTAGCTGATGTACTTCGACTGCATCACATTGTAGGCTGTCGAGCAAGACTTGCGCAACCTGTGCCGGTACTGGAACAGCCGCCGGTTTACTGGAAAATACAGTGAGGAAGTGCGTAGCCAGGGCGTCCGCGCGCTCCGCGCTTGAAATGAGTGTCTTCCCGTCTAAGCTCTCTAAGACCGGTAGGTCGTCTCCAGGTTTCAGTTGACGTTTCAAGTAGGCAAATATTCGCTTGGGTGCAGTTGCGGCCGAGGATGCTAGCTCCTCTTCGAACTGCCGGCGTTTCTTGATCTTTGCGGCGTTACATAAGTTACGCTGTTTCCTGTACACCGCGTAATCTTCATCACAACCCGAGCTGATGTATCTATCCCAAAGTTTACGACGTCGTCGCGCTAACTGTCTGTATTCCCTATCAAACCAATGCGGTTTGACAGGTCCGATTTTTGGATACTTAAGGGGAACGAACCGAGTACAGAGCGAGTTAAGCTTCCCCTTTATTAATGACCACCACGCCTCAAGTGACGCATCATGTGGTAGTGTCCAATCAGTCTGACTTGCGGCTTGGACGAGTCCGTTGAAGTCCGTCTTCCAATAGTTGAATGTCGGCTTCTGTTGATTGTAATATGGTAACGACTGTTCTAAGCTTGCTACAATAGAGCAGTGGTCACTGTTCGCCAGAGGTTCGATGACTCTGATCTCTTTTAGCTTCTGCTCGCAGCTCGTAAACATTAGGTCCAGACAAGATGCCGAGTATGGAGTTACGCGCGTCGGTTGGATGACATGTTGCGTTGCCCCAATTTCAATAGTCATTTTAGCGAATTGAGCCTCAACGTTGCCATGACCGGGAAGAAGTCGAACGTCTGGCCAAATTATCTTAGGTAAATTTAGATCTCCCATCAGTAAGAACTGAGGGCGGCTCATGTGCTTCTGTACATGTGGTATCCAATCGCAGCAACGGTTTAATGGGCTCCGGTAGATAACCCCCACAATTAGTTCTGCGCGCCTGAGACGGATTGTGCACCACAGTTGCTCGCATAAACTATCCTCGTTCCGATAGGTACTGATAAGTTTGCCAGATAGTGGCGATTTTATGTACAACAGAACACCACCGTGAGCCTTTGATTTTCGGTCACATCGGAAACAAGAGTATCCTGACAACACGACTTCTTGGGGTATGATGTCGGAGTTCAACCATGTCTCTGCAAGTCCTAAAATGTCCGGCCGCTCCGAGACAGCGAAGCGGCACAGTTCGTCACGTTTGTTCATTAGGCTGCACACGTTGGCGAATGCGACACGGAGGTCCTGGGAGGTACTGCGGGACGTGCATGGAGGTTGAGCAACCGATTGATACGGGTTCGTACACCCTTCTTGATCACCCGAAAATTTACAACCTGTAAGTCAGTCTCACCTTCCTCTGTACGGCGTTTGAGCTCAATGACCGCAGTCTTCAAACGATCCCTGTCCTCGGGTTCCAAATCTCGGCGGATGTGAACTTTTATGCCTTTCAGCCTTGACAGACGAGACAGTATGAGCTGCGGCATATTAGGATTTGCAAAGGTGATCCTCAGAGGTCGACATGACTGGTTAGTTTTCTGGCCAAGTCGGATTACTTGTTTAATCGTCACACTGTCCTCGCCCACATCCAAGAGTCTATCGATGAGCCCCTGGAGGAACTCAACATCGTGATCATAACGTATCTGAGGGTTTTCATCTTTTGACTCTGGTACGTGGAAGACCATGAGATTATGACGCCTCAGCGAAATCAGTGATGAACCTGTGGGAGCAGAACTAGAGGCGCTTAACTGATTGGGTAGTTGTTTATCAGCAGGTGACGTCTGAACTCGATTACGTGGGCCCTTGCGCTTCTGAGTGGTCCATGGATCCTCGGTGTTCAGAAGTTCACAGACAGGCTCTGAGAAATTCACGAACCGATCAGTGAAGCGGCATTTCGTAGCTTCTGAGTCTGAGTCTTCCATCGGTGGGAAACACTGAACCTGGGGTTCGGCCGGGGTCGAAGACGCTGGCA